CGGGAGGAGGTAGTCCGTGTCGTTTGTTTTCTGTGTGCTACACCGTATGTTACTCAGGTCTTGAGTTGTGACCCCCCCGTCCTCTTTGCGCCCCCCGCCGTCGCCTTTCTGTGCCCCCCCGTGAACTTTAGGGTCACAGGCAGTTGTTAGGAGTGTCCTTTTGTAGAGAAAAGCACGAGAAGAGTAAGAGTGATGTGCCCGTGTCGCGGTGAAGCTCTGTGGCAGAGGTGAGTGAGGCTGTAACCCAGGAGGGCTCTCTAGGTGCGCAGAAACCCATTTGCTTTGCGACATCGGGTTCTGGAACCATTTGGGGTAGCAACTCTGACATGACTTACTTGGGAGTAGATTCTGGCATCCCTTCTTCCCTCGAGCTGCACTCCAGCAGTGGGCAGGGGGTGGCCGGGGTGCCTATACTGGAACCATAATCAAAACTCAGCATGTGTGGGCAAGAGAGAGCTTACTCTCAAAAACTCCAGAAAGAAAAGAGACCGGTCTGTCATGAATGCTGAGCTCCCACTAGTGGTGTCTTTGGTCTTTTTATTTCGGATTCCTCCAGTCCTTAAAACATTGAACTACTCTGAAGATTGCTGCTGGTAGCTCAGTTCCAGCCGGGGGCAAAAGGGGCTGACCACGATTATCTGTCCCTGTTCTCTGAGGGCAGAGCCTGTGACATCCTGGGGAAGGAGGACAGTCAGGACTTTCTGGTTCTTGGTGCAAGCTCTGGAGGGAATCAGCCTCTTGGAGGACCAGCTGACCTCCACCTGGGCTGTCCCGGCCGCCATTCTGCAACTGGGGAATATCTGCTTTACCTCCTACGAGGTACACTAATCCTTGGCAGCTTGGGAATAGGCTGTTTGTGCTGAACTTGCTGTTATCCCATGTGGTGGGACTGGGGACGTTATTCTTGACTGAGATGATATCCTTTGAAGACTATTCTGTCTTCACCTAAAGAATGTTTGACAAAACCCCCAGAAGTTTCTTAGAATGTTCACTTATATGCAAATTCCTGTAAAAAAACAGCTCAGAGTCCTTTCCCTGCAGCCTGTGTTCTGCTGCTCAGCAGTGGCTTGGGCAGCCAGATCACTCTTCAGCCTGTTCTGATGGACCGAACCCAGAAAAACACCTAGTATAAATTTGCTGTACTGATGGGGTGAGCTGAATGAGCTAACTCTTAATGAATCACATTTTAATTATTCCTGGTGCTATTACTAACAGAAGTAAGAAAAACATTTTTAATGTAGTTTTAATCTAACTGTTCCCATTTGTTCCTGAAGACTTGGATAAAGCTGGAAATATGTTAACACTCTCTTTTACAATTCATTTCTTTTCACGTGCTTTAGCATATCCTGCTTTTCTGTTATTCCCAGCCTGAGTCCAGAATCCACTGAAATTTCTAAGAGATTCTCCCTGATCCGCTCGGCTTTGGATGAGGCCAGGGATAAGAGAAGTGCAGATAATTTTGTAAGCAAAGGCCCTGCAAGGTGTTACTTTTTGAAATTGAGGTTAGGGTAGCATCTAGAGTTCTGGGTCAGGAATTGTTACCCTTGTGGCAGGTATACACCCGTGTGTCTGCCCCAGTGAGCTTCTGGGGGCTTCCCAGACTTGTGGTAAGTAAATAACAGGCAGAACAGGGGCTTAGAGTGATATGTGCTCATCAAGGCCTGTGAGTTTTATACTTAGGATTCCTGTTAAAATCTGTGTTTTCTGATGAATGCTGAAAACAATGGAGCATATACAGGTGGGGGTGCGCATCCAAGATTCTTACTAGGAGAGGCAACTAAGCTGCTTCTGGGCAGAAGCAAAATAGGTAATGGCCTCAGGTACACAACGGCCTACACTGCTTGTCTCAGAGCCCTGGAAATCCAGGAAAGCTGTTGCTGCTGAAAGAAAGTGAGGGATCAAAGCCTGCTGGGCAGTGTGAAGGGGAAAAGGAGCAGTCCCTCCTAAAAGCAGAACTCATTGTCCCCTCCACTCCTGATGGCAGCAGGAACAGCAAGCTTCATTCTCTAGGGCTTTCTCCTTGTTCCACCTCTCAGCTGTCTGCCCCAAGTCAAGGTGTGTGTAAGAGGGTGTTTGCCTGTCTGGTTGGTGGTTTGAATGGTGCATTAAATCAGACTTTGCCTCTGCAGGTCCACAGGTTTCTTAATAAAAACTGTAACCAGCTGCATCCAGAGGTGCTGGATTTCTTCTCTCAGAGCCACCTCAAGGTACTGTAGTGGTTCAGGATGAAGATCTCTATTGCAGACACCTAATGAGCCACTCATTGCCTTCATGTGAGAAGTAGAAAGATCCTGGTAGGTGTCAGGAGAACCTGGAGAAACCGTGAGGAGTTTTATTCTACTGAAGGACTCTTGGGAATTAAGCAAGTTGTCTTTGCCCGCAACTGATGCATTTTATATATAAAACACATAGACTGCCTGAGAATGCAGCTGGGTTCCTGGCACTGCTAGGGGCAAGGGAGAATGGTCCCCCAGTTTCAGATAGAAGAGATTGTTCTTTCCATGTCGTTCAGGGAGCTTTGGTAATTTCTTTGTTTTTGCAGGTGGTGCCTTTTCCAGAAGGCTAAAGCTGCCCATAGTCAGCAAAGGGAGATGGGGGCCAGAGGCAAAGGGCTCAGGCCTCCATGCCAGTGTCCAAATTCCAGCAGGCTTTGCAGGACCTCCTAGCCAAGCTGAGAAGGTGAGAGATGCTGTTAAGGTGCCACCCCTGCACTAGGCCAATTGCTGCGCCCAGAAGTGTGTGAAGTCTTTCCAGGTCAGCACAGAGAGGAGGATAATTAAAGGTTCTTCCTTCTATTTTGCAGGAGCCATGCCTTCTTCATTCAGTGCATCACCCCTAGTCCCAAAAAGGTAGGGCAGCACCCTGAGCTCCTTATGGAGTCCCTCAGTTCCTTGAAGTCCAGTCCTCTCCAGCAGCTGTCCTTTTGCAGCTGGGGTTTGGACTTCTTTGCTTCATTTGACAGCTTGAAATCTTTCTTCCCCTTTCTCTGTCTCTCACCCTTCCCTGTGGCCATGTGAGCTGACTACATGCTGGAGGATAAGAAGCCAGTGTCAGCTGGACACTAAAGGAAGTGTTGGGTTTTGTGTTCCATTGCCCATAGACCATGGCAAGATCTAACCCAAGGACGGGACAATAGAAGGAGACCCTTTCTAAACTCTCTACCCTTTGTCTCCTTTCTTTTGTCTTTCTTGATTTCTTGTTTTACATTTTTCTTCTCTCTTATATTCACAGCTATCAAATATCTTTGATGTGGAGTATGTCACTTGTCAGCTGCGGCATTCTGGGATACTGGAGGCCATCCACATTAGAAAGGAGGGATACCCAGTCCATCTTTCATTCCAGAACTTCTTAGCCAGGTACAGTAGTGTACTGGCTTGGGGTTCCCCAGCCACTCAAAGCCTGGATGAACTTGTCAGCACATTGTGATTTGTTCTCCTCTGAGGACTCCAGTTACAGCCCTGGCTTTCGTCTTATCAACATCGCATCTTCCAGGTATGGCCTCCTGGCTGGGTGAGGGCAGAACTGCTTGGAGGAGAGAGAAGGCGGCGCAGCAGTGCTGTCTCATGTGGTGGGGAACCCCTCAGATCTCTATCAGATTGGAGTAACAAAGGTGATGCCTATAGAGAATCCCATCTTAATTGCACAGGCCCAGCCATCTATTCACTGGCTGTCAATGGACAGAGGGCAGCTCGGCTCTCTGCCCAAAGAGAGATTGCGTGCCTTCACCTCCCTTTTGCTTTGCCTCTTGTCTCAAGTATGAAGGAGGTATTTTTAGCATTTCAGATAAAGAAACAGGAGACTCTGGCTCCAGGCTGTTGTAGTAGCATGGCCAACTCTTCTGTCTACCCAGCATTCCTTGATGGAGATCTGGGCTTCTGCCTTCTAACCTCCATCACTCCTTGATTCCCTGTCCTCCACAAATACATCCATCTCTCACCTGCACCTGTGCCTCCTGCCCTCCCCCATTAAGGGAGTGCAGTTTCCTTAGCAGTGAGCTTTAAAGGCTCCAAAGAGATAAACCAGCAGTGTTTATTATTGATCAACTCTTAGAGAAGCTGGCTGCTTTCCCTGTGGGTCAGCAGCTGTTCCCTTTTCCCAGGTCTTTCTGAAGGAGAAGGCCAGGCAGCTTCTGGAGAGACGATGGAACCAGAGGCAGAGTTGGGCCATTGTTACCCTGCGAAGGAACCTCTGATGCCTCCTTCGCTGCAGACACCTCCGTGTCCTCCAGGCGAAAGTCTCAATCATTCAGGCTCACTTCCAAGGTTCCCAGGCAAGGTACAGCCCTTGTCCTTGCCTAGGACATCAAGGTAGGGATGTGCCTGACCAGGACCCTCCTCAGGCTGGCTCCTGGCCTGCTCTGCCGGGGGGGATCCTGGTACTGGAATGGCGGGGGAGGGACTTCCCAGCCTGGTTCCCAACACTGAGCAGAGGTTCCAGGGGAAATACAGCTGCTGTCAAAACTGTTAAAGGAACTTGCCTGTACTAAGGCTGAT